GGATCTTATCCGAGAAGGGATAAGTAAAAGTTGCTGTTTCGGCGCAGTGCGATTTCTAAGGTATGTCGTACAACTTTTACGGTCGAACGATCTTTCTTGCAGAAAAGTCGAGTATACCGTAGGGATCCATAAATACATTATCCCTCTATAAAAGTTAAATAAGTAAAAGTTAAATTAACTCTAAATCCACCACGTTCTCGGCGCGGACTTAACTCAAGCTCGCGCCTTAGGAGGCGAGCACCCGCGAAGACTGCGAATAATGTGATATTTTCTCTTAACGGAATTAGCAAAATGTTCCTCTTTTTCTTTGCACGCGGCGGCAATTAGGTATCTGCGCGCATTGTTCCGAAAACGAGTAATGTATACTCCGGTTACCCTTCAGTTTTATAGGACGGAAATGGCACTGTTGTTTGCATTTAGATGACGGCGAGATGCCGATGTAGATTAGCATTGGCTAACAGAGGATAGCAATTGAATTAGCATAGGAGAAACTGCGAGTATTTTTATCGGGGAAACATCTGATGCATCAAATGTAACGGTAAAATTAACATAATCCTTACCTCTCGCTTTGCTCTGTATGAAATGACGAAACGAGCTGAAATTAATATATAGCGGTGCTTTGCTCAATTCTGTCTTAAGAAAGGGGTATTATTATTATCTGCTTTTCCGGGATGCATATTATCCATCTCGGGATTACGTATATGTATTTCGACGATTTGCATATTGAAGGTGGATTAACATTATAAAATAATAATATCACACGATATGGAGAATGTGAAATTAACGTGTAAAATAATAATATCACACGATATGGAGAATATAGAATTTATAGTATTCTCGAGCGCTTATTAAAGGAAACCTCTTATATATAATTATGAATTGATATTTATACAAATGTTTATACGTGCACCAATAACTTAAGAGCACGAAGCGCACGGTCAAGCTTACCCTGTAATCAATACGTCTCGATTGCGAAATTTACGCCAGCACTGAAAGTCTTCCGCATTGATCAAACGGCAAATCAATTTTGCGAAGCTTTCCTCTCGAACGGCCTGATGTCTGGGCAAACAAGCGCGAACGCTGCGTAAATAAGTTCGATTTATTTGAATCGCGTTGACACCTCCGGCCAGAGAATTATGTCACGCCGTGGCTTTAAGAAATTTAGTGGATGTCTCGCGTTGAGTGCATACCCTCGTTACCGGACTGGCCCGGTGTTTCTACGCCACTGGAGCGGGTTATATACAGTCCGTGCATACATCACACGCATGCTTTTGTTGCACGTGGTCAAAGAAAATGCGAGAGCTGATTTACAGCCGGCATTTGAGAGCATTCCCTTCTTACCGAAGATAAATCGAAAGGAGCCACGCATTTACCTCTCCTGTCTTTTCTTCCATACCCTAAGATTTACACTTGAAAATGCTTAAATCTACTAACGCGGGAAAAGCTATCTCCGGAGATGCGGGGATTTCCGCATCTGCTATTTCGCGCTGCGCGCGTAATGCGCCGAGATTCACTTTTCCATTCTCTATGTAGGAATTTATCTGCTCAATTTCTTCGACTCGCCACGCTTCGACCGTGTATCCGTGTGTGAATTTATAATTCGTGCCGCGGATTTTCTCCGCCGCCGTTTTACCCCTGCCCCCCTGGTCTCTGTCTTGCCTCTGCAATTTACATTTGGACTTCTTCCGCGGCGCGTTCCTCGAAACGTCAGAATTCTTTTTCAGATGGTAAATTAGGCGTCATCAATCACACCGCTGATGCCGGCTAAACGCCAACTTTCACCGGCGACAATAACTTACCTTCTCGCGTTTGCTTTTACACCGCGAGCAAAGTACGCGAGACAATGCTTGTTGTTCGCGTTCTAGCGGAAACATGATATAAATAAATAAATCATACTTTCCGCGCAGAGACGAGAGAGATGCTGCGAAAGAGCGTAAACCCTCCGTTTCCCTCGGACTTGGAAATCTGCTACTCGGTTAGATTATCGTCTCACCGTGAGATTCAGTGCCCCCCTCGACCCCCTGTGAGCTTATTTCCATTTACATCCACCACTTCCATTCGCGAGACTCGTACGCTGTTCTTACGACTGGTCGAGTACCGCCATAACCGGTACTTCAAACATCCTTTTACTCGGATACCCGTACTTGGAATTTTTTTATTATGTTCGCGAGAAAGCGGGAAAAGAGCGAGCTTGGTGTATGGTCGCGTTCACCTCGATGATTTGATGTAGGACGGTCGAGCGACCAAAAGCGACCCTCCCCCCGGTCAATAAGATATTCCAACTTTCCATTGAGAGAGACGTATCTTACGCGAATGTACACTAAAACGCAATCCTTTTAACTTTTCGCATATATATAAGGAAAAAAGTTTCGCCCACGTTACATCGCATCGTATTTACGCGCGAGAGAGTGTTTAACATAATCACGTGCGCGATATCGCAAAGTTTGCGCCACCAACTTTAATAAGCGTCGCAAACAGAATTCACAATTAATAGAATAAATATAGGAAACTGATGGCTCCACGATATCCCTAACAGGGGTGTCTTGAAATATTCAATGGGTATTCTTGGCTAAAGGAAGTTATATTAGCATATCAAACATCTCGGCATAATTAATGAGCCTGATATTGAAGCGTCGCACGGAGGAAAGCAATCGCAGTGACGTTTAATCGGTGAATCTTTTCTTTCCTTTTTTTCTAATTGGCCAGTGAGAGACAGCGCACTTAATTATGGCAACTTTAATACCGCGTCGTCGAAGACATAGTCGTATTGGCATTGTTAGTTCATAAGGACACCTTTGAGGAAATGAGTTAAGCACGGAGTTGATTTTACCCCAGTTTGTAAATCCTATTAAAAAGTACAGCGGTGTCCTCCCTGTAAAATTGAAACTTCTTAAATGTTCCGACGAGACTGGTAAAATTTAGCGATCGAATTCAGTGACCCATTTTCATAATATACGGACGGACAGTTTCGATACTTTTTACAAGCCAGATATGAAAGGAAGAATTGCTGCGCGTCGGCTATAATAACATTTTGCTTAAATCAGATCTTTTTTTTTACGAATACATTTTGTACCACACGATCGGCAATTATGTGAAAATCTGAAGGCGGCGCGGATTTAACGCGCGCACGGTTGAATATTAAATTGAAAACTTATGATAACACGCATCCCGCAGCTGCGTTGCTGCGCGTTAATGTTTTCAATTGAACCACATGCACAAATTTACTAATTGCGCAAATTAGCGGCTTGGCTTAATTATAAAACGACGAATATTAATTTCGACGCGCGCTCGCACGAAGGCGCCGAGTGTGTCGCGCGCTGGAATTTTGCGCCACACAAAATTCACTCGTAACGTGTTTTTTCCATGATAGCGATTTCGGGAGCGAAAAATCGTGCTTCATGTCGGCTAACAACAGTTCCGTTCGGCCTGTACAAAACGATACCGCCCGGTCGATGGTAAACACAAAACAAGAGAATTTGCTATAGATCAATGTGATAGTTACAACTTTGCAACTTTTTCGATAAGTCGTCGCGTATCGCTCGTAATTTAAAAGTACTTTCAACTTCGAATAATCTCCTAAAAATGTCTGCGATTTCGAATGCAGGCGAATGAGATCGATCAGAATCGAGAAGATGTTGAGAGCAAATTTTGGGGCAGCAATTAATAATCATAACTAATCATTAATTGTATCGTACAACGTGTATCGTAACGATGCATCGAGCGTACGCGAGGGAAATTAATCAGAAGAAACGGTTTCATCTCAGGAATTCCATATTCATGCCACATCTGCGAAACCAAATTATATCGCGGCGTCCCACGTAATCGTCCGGATCATTGGGAACTAAAATCGCATTCGGCAGTTATAAGTGTGTGGCCAATTTTCCCCGGCGACATTAAACATATTTCACGTGGAGTAAAGCGATTCCAACTTGCACAAGCAAAATTACGGTACTTGCCGGATATTTCACATATCTTCTCGAAAATTCGCGTAGTCGGTCCGCGGTTAATAAAATGCCATGTAAACCGTAAATTAGTTCATACAGTTTGACCTTGCACCAGAGTACCAGCGAGCAGCAATCAGCTCAAGGGCTTCATATATTCCTCGACACACACACACACATAGAGTATGAGCTAATTACGACAAGCATATCGTGTAATTGCGATGAATTCGTCGAAGCGCGAGCGGCAAGCGAGGCTGGGAAATGCGAAATCCTAGTTTCATTTGACACAGAGCGCCGCGGCATAATTAATTGTTTATTTCTCACAAGAGCCGGCAAATTTGGCTAACTGAAGACAGTCCGATTAACAAGCGTGACGCATAGAAATATAGGGAATACAGAATTGAGATAAACGATGTCGGGATATTCGTGTAAGCGCGAGATGTCGGGAAATTTTGCCTCGGAACAACAACGAGGGGGAGGAAGTACGTATCAGTTCATATCTCGCTTATACTTCCAGTTATCCCGGACGACTTCATAGAGCGCATCGGGCCCCGGAAACTATTGTACGCGCGAATTACTCCCTACGCGCGCCGTACGAACTCTTCCTCCCTCTCGCGCGTCCCAGAGAGACACACTCGCGAGGGGTAGGGGACACGCAGCACAAAATTCGCGCGACGTACAAGCACGCCTGGTGTGTGTCCTACGTCGAAACAAGAGAGGACAACCTCGCGTTCGACCATCGCGGCGATGACGACGACAGCACAGAAACTCGTTAAACTTCCCGCACACGCGAAACGGGAGCGCGCGTGAGTAGCAAAACTCCTGCTCGGAGGGTGGTCGCAGTTCGCACGGGATTCAATTAGCACCACAGCGGTGAATTTTGCACTCGCGAACGGGGGAGACTCGGAGGAAGAGAAGTTCGGATGTGATAATCAACACGTTACAAAGCGAGATCGAGAACGCTGTCTAGCAACGGCCCCGTCATTAAGCGTCATGTCTGGGCGATAAATTTGGTAAACGCGCTCGCTCGTCCGACGTTTTCGACTTGTTCTCACTCACCGGATGTGACGGGGTTGTCGGTCCATGCACTTCCCGCGATCGTGGACAGCAGCACGGCGCCGGTCAACAGCCGGAATCGGCCTTGCGCGGTTCCCGGGGCACGTTGAACACGTTGCTCACCGATCATCGCGCTACCGGGTGGACGAGAGGGTGCGCGACCGGCATCCCGACTGAGGCATCCCGCTTCGCCGTGCCGAGAGAGAGCGTGTTTCTCTACCTCCCGCATCATCCCCTCTCTTTTCCCGCCACGCGCAGACGCTTCCGCGACTCGGGCTCTCGCGACTCTTGAACCATCCCCGCCGTCTTAATCCCACTCACTTATCTCTTATCAATAGGTGACGATTAATTATCCCTCTACCCTACGCGTCGCAGCCGCGCTGCGCTTTCGAGGTCGTTCGCAACCTGTGGCACGCTCATCTCGGGTGCGCCCTTTAGCGCACGGGTCTCGGGGATGAGGAACGTGATTCCTCCTGCCTCGATTTATGACCGATCGCGATTGTGATTCGCGCGCTCGGAAGATTCGAAAAGCCCGGCGAACGAAAGTTACTGATGCTTTCTGGGAAGGTTTCCCGGCTACTTCGGGGAATTTGTAAATAAAGTTGGCGCGACCAATCCGCCCGGCGAGGAAAACTCGAATCGACGTGGTGGCGAGTTAACATAAGTTTTTGAGTCTGCGCGCAAAAGGTAACCTAGAGGCGGGAGGAATCGCTCTAAAGTCCGACTGAAATGAATTTCATGCCGAGTCAAACGTTCCTTCCAAGTGAAAACTACAATTTGCTTTCAATTAAGACCGACCTTTTCATCCGCTCGAACTTTTTGAGCCCTATTTAAGTTGATTGAAGGATCATTTCCCGGTACAATTAGCGTCTCTTATCCCCTTATATTGTAGCGTTTGTTAACGATACTTTCACAACGCGGTATCCCTCCTCAGGTCGGCGCTTTCCTCGTACGATTGAATAGAAACACCTGTGGAACATCCCCGAAATTCCTTTTTATGATAAGTTTCACCGTAATCGCGGCATTACCGTGACCTACGCGAGATGGTTTGGGTAAATGCTTGGGTGCAGCGAGAATCACGATGATTGTATTAATCGCTGATACATCCACCAACGCCCGATGGGTCGTGAAAACTGTGTTGTTTTATTGACCATGAGGGAACCGCGTATTCGATATTACGATATTCGTCACCCGTGGCCAAGTTATTGACAAACGGCACAAAACGGACGACAAACGCGATTAAAACTTGTTGTTTTAATTTATCAACTATTAATTATAGACATTTTCTCCGACGGTATGCACGTGCCGCGCGGACGAATCGAAGATGTGTCACGGCGATATCAAATATCGCATATTGCGCGTGTGTAACTTTCATTTATTGATTGCAGATATTAGTTCTGCTGTTATGTAAGCGCAATTTGAAAGTTCATACATATTCAGCCAATCCATTCACCTTCGCGTGGAATAAACGATAAAGATAATTGATAGCGCAAAATATCGATTAGTTATATCGGGAATAGTTTAATGGATTTTGCCAGAAAGTGTGATTAATAAACCCGTGAAGGGAATGTGATTTTCGTTTGACATATGATGGACGGAAGATTTTCGAGTCAGTCCTTAATTACTTATCCCATCGAACAATCACAGCCTGTAATGAATCACTTCGAGTTTGATGGATGTCTCTGCGGTATTAATTAATACGCGGTGCAGATATACTTGAGATAAAAAAAAAGAGATATTTACACGTTTCTTCTTTTTGGTCGGTGGCACTCTGGCTTTTCGGTCGGCGGCACTCGATGCTTTTCCTCATGGTCGTTATTTAATAGCATTTAATAGCTTTTGCTCGTTCATGCGTCACGTTTTTAAATTTCAGTGTTCAAATACAACGGTGTAAAATACGAGCTCCATTTTCGATACGAATGAAGTTAATGCGCGTGATATTTTCAACGTACAATTTATCGACGGCATATTACCCGCTACTGAACGAACAACCAAAAGCAAGGATTACGCTTGCAACATTGATTCGTGATCGAACAGTTGTTCACACGATTATCCTCTACCGCGCGACATGTTATATAGCAAAGTACATGCGGGCGTTTTAATGCGCGATACTCGTAATATCATTGATGGCGAATCGCTCGATAGCCGGCGCGATATCTAAGGGTACCGCAGCTGTTAGGCAAAATAACGCGTAAACACCCTCGTAATCGTTGCTTCCGCGCCCGGAGCAGAAATCTCGCGCGGTGAATAATGTTCCTCCGGAGGTGTGGATTGCAATATCGCGGCGTATGGAAGAACGCCGTGCGCTAGATAAGCGAGTTCTTGCGGCATTCGCGTTAGAAGGCGTGTCGGGAGACTCCGGGGCGCCAGAAGACGCACTGCCATTGTAGCCTCCAACTCCTGTGACGACGGAGCTCCTCTTCCTCGCTTCTTCCTCTTTTACCTCCCGCTGCAACGACGCTACCACGATGCTGTCTGGTCTCACGTACGCGCACATTCCTACGCGAATATTGTCTGCCAGCGAGTATTTCAGCTTCCCTTCCCTTTCTCTCTCTCTCTCTCGGCCTGAAGAGTCCGTTTTCGGACGTCGATTGGCGTGCGGTGCATTGCGGGGGTGCTACATCTCCGCGATTCGCCGGCGGGTGGGATTCGCGGAATGAATGCAGGAAGATTCAAGCGTAAACGTAATTTCGATTTATAATTTTCAAGGCAGATTGCTCGCGTTGGGAAGAAGCGCGCGAGGTATTTAATAAGCGCGTAATATACATGCCGGGTTTTGAGGAAGCGTGTGTAAATCATGTGCGAGCGAACCGGACTTAGCCTATAAAGACGTGAAATCTGTATTGGGGTCGTTAATGGCACGCGGCCAGAGAGGTTATTGCCAAGTAACAGGCAAAGAAGGAACTTTCACATTGCTATTAACGGTATCTCAATTTGCAGCTTATTCGAGGGAGAGAGATTAGATTGCTCTTACCTCCGCGGCATGAAAAAAATGACATCCACTGTGATATTTTTTTGTTCCTCCAGTGACCATCGGAATTGTCGCACATCCGTGATCTTATCGATTCGCAGACCGATCGGGGCCTCTCTTTTCTCTCGACGGCCTTTTCACGACAATCACATTCGACGTTGCGCTACGTGGCCTATCCGATTATCTTGGAAACTCAATCAAAACAGCGCGAGAATACGGTCGGGACAAAGGTTCGTAATGTCGTTGCCATTTTCCCCAGTAGACCCCGGAACACTTTGGCGGCACGCAGCCTCGTGTTGGCGAACAACTAGGCTGCGCCGGGAAGACGACCACTCCGGAAGCAACAACACGGGGCGGGCGTCGATGTGTTCGGGAACGTCAATGGCTCCGGCATAGCGCGCTCGCTTCTGTCTGCCTGTCCCTACCACAAAGTTACATCTCGCAAATTGCGTTTGTCAACAACGGCTAATTGCCGCCGTGAATGTTACTCAACTATGAAGTGGCTCATAATTAGGCTGATGCAACCCGTAGAGAATCGAATTATTTGCCGGGCGGCAAAAGCAACAAAAAGCAAGAGTATCTTTCCCTCCGTCACGCTCCGCGTACGAGAAGGCATCGCGTCTCGGGAAAACGGTTGTATTTTTGGGAGTCGTACTTTCGGACGTGCCTGCGGGAAACGCAAACGGGATCGTGACTCACATTCGCCGTCGGCCGTGTTGAATTTGCGAGCGAACTCGCACGCTAAGCTCGCCTCGCCGTGGTCGGGGGTCGAAGATTATTATGAATAAATTTGCGCGCTTGGCCGCGCGGTCATCATCATAATTTTCGAAATTTGCGATTTTCCAAATAGTATGTTGATAAGAATTTGAAATTCGCGTCAGACCCGCAGGGCGCATAAATTGCCGAGTCGTAACTTTGGGTTCTTAATATTTATGCACCGCTCCTACTTGACGCTCGGTTTTAGTGCCGCGGAGATAATTCACTTTCCGGAGCAAACTTCTTCGTTACTCGCGAAATAGAGGGTGCTCTTGAAAATGGTAAACGGCAGGTGTGTATGTGTGCTCGTCCAATTTTTGCACGACCTACGATCCGATGGAAAAATTCAAGTACACGCCGGACGCGTGACCATCAGACGCGCGTTTACATTCGCCAGGTTTCTTGAGAACAGCGTGCGTTGACGTCGAAGTGGCAGCAATCTCTCCCCTCTCCCTCGCTCCCCTGGTATGTACGCGATCTAGTGGTTAAGTTAAGTGGCTGACATAACAAGGTTACCAAGGAATGTGAGGAAGGGCTTTCAAGGGAGCGCCGCCTGTGTGTAGACGGGGAGAGAGAGTATCGCGCTATCTCGCACCTCCCGCCTCAAACCACCGTAGCTTCGACGTTGGCCCGTTTTAGCCCCGGCAACCCCCGTGCCTTTGTGCCGTGCGATGACCCGACCTACGACACTACCCATCCTCTCTCAGGCACAACTATTCTGCTCCGCGCGCGTGTGATGCGTCAGGTCATGGGTGCGCGCATTCGTCTTGACGTGCGTCAACTCCTCCCCCCTGCCGCGGCAATACCGAATTACGCGAAACCCCTCCTCCGTCGGACAAATAAATCGATAACGTCGCGATTTCTGAGAATGCTCTCTCCTCGATTGGCTTCCCGTTTCCGAGCGCTCGATTCCGACGGCTTGGGGCTTCGGCGCGATGCAAATCAATATTTAACGGCGCAACGGCGGCGGGAAGAGACTTCATCCGGTCGTGATCCATCGACCGTGGCGGCGAACGACGTTGTTTCCGCGGTCTCTCGTTAACATCCCTCGCGATCGCAGGGAAAAATTGTTTGCGCCAGTCTCGACGGTACTTTTCCCCTCTCGCCGCCGCTAATTCCACCGCGTAACGTACACCGCGGCGCGGCGGGTGGAAATGAGTTAATTTCGCCAAATCACATCCGAGCATACTCGAGACCTCCATCTCGCTGAAATGGGACGAAAGCGCAACTGAATTTCGCTGTGTGACGCGAGTTTTAAAACAGATCGCCGCGGCACAGCTCGCTTACGCACGTACGTAGGAAATTCGTTTTAGAAATACGGCTGAATGGCTGTCAGTGCTGTTTCGCAAACGAGAAGTCATTTAAGCGCTTATGAGCACTTGACGCTGATAGGGAAGTCAAATGCACTGTGCCCCTCCGTCGCTG